GGTACCAGCTCCTGAGCCAGAACCTCTCCCACCGGTAACCGGACCAGAGCTCCCCAAGGGCAGTCACTTCATAGCGTCTGCATGTTATCTCTCCAGTTTCGTTATTTTGATTGAATAAATGTGACTCTATCCTGATTATACCTATGAAAATTAATTTTAATGACAGTTATATTTCCTGTTTCATAGTATTTATTAAAATAATCTTTAAAAGCATAAGTGTATATCCCCATCTAAAGTACTCAGAGCATGTTTTGGGGAATTATTGCTTATACTATACATTAAATATATGACATTAGATTATTTTTGAAACTATGATTACTGTATCGAAGAAAGTAGAAAGTAAGAGAAATAAGTAACTGTATTTAACCTGATGCTGATAACATGGAGAGGTAAGCCCTTGGCAACTGATTATGAGTGGAAGTTCAATCAGAGAAGATCAATGACAATGAGTATGAAGTGTTGGACATTCAGGAAAAAAATCTCTGCCCTAACCAACCCTCCTCCCACACTGAGATAAATGAGCCAGAACAACTGGGAATCCAGAAATCAGGTACATGCAGATGCTGGAGAGGAGTCCAGCAGAGTGCGCAAGGTGTGCCTCTGGCCAGCTGTGCTCCTATGCCTGGAAGCCAGGGTCACTGCTGGCTAGCAAGGTTAGTGGTCAGGTGAAGGACTGAACTCAGTGCAGCAAAGTCCAGAAAGAAGGAAGACAAATGCTGGCAGTCACTGGCATCTCAGTGTCACTGTTTCACAGGGGACAGGTAACTGACTTTCTTTGGGCCAACTGTAACTCAGAACCATAGTAGGAAGGAAATTTTGGAAAGTATAGTTCTACTTGAGCCTATTTGACAGAGTATACAGCTACTATACTGGGCCATACTGGGCCACACTTGGCAAGCATGAGGTCCTGATTCAATTCCTGGCACAAAAAAAAAAAAGCCACCACACCATGAAGAGATTAAACCTCAAAAGGATAAGATTGGAGAATAGGCATAGAAAGGAGGATTCTGGGGACCATTCTTGGGTAAGGAGAAGAGTATAAGCATGACTTTGGTTAATCAGCACAGAACCGAGTTTGCCATGGGCTGCCCATTATGTTTAACTGTACCTTTTTGTTAAGGTTTTATGAGTTTTTGAAAGGCTTAGTTAAACCTCAGCATAGTACAGTCGAAGGCCAGTAGCTTCTGTCAGTCCTCAGGATCCATTTATGTTCACTACATGGCCCGAATGTATTCTAAAGTGAACATGACACCAACTGCCTAAGTGTTGTTTTCTTAAGGGCCTTAGTCACTTTTTCATTACCAGACAAAGCACTGATGACCACAGCTTAAAGGAGGAGAGGCTTAGGTGCTTTGTCATTTTCAATGGACTCATCCAAACTCTGGCTGTTGGCTCCAGGGCAGATGCAACAGGGAAGAAGGGCGTGGCAGAGGACACTTCTGATGGCATGGCAGGCAGGAAGCAGATGGAGAAGGGAGCAGCAGGTGGCAAGCAGACATCTTTTCAGGCCATGCCCCAGTAGCCTCCTAATAGCACATTTATTTAGCTACTGAACTCATCAATGGATGAATCTGCTGATAAGCATGGAACCCCATGATCCAGTCATCTTCCAAACGTGTAAGACTTTTGGGGGAATGTTTTATTTAATTAATTAATCAATTAATTAATTTTGATGATACTAGGGATTGAACTCAGGACCTTGCACTTGCCAGGCAAGCACTTATTCGAATCACTGAGCTGTCTCCCCCCAGCCCTAATAATCGTTTTGTTTTGTTTTGTTTTTTTGTTTTGATTGGGGAAACTTTTTTTGTCTAGTTTGTGTTTTTTTTCCATAATTTTATTGAGAAACAAATAGCAATGAGACAGTATCAATAATTAACACATTGCATATATTCTTCCTAGTGGTTAATTGCTGTACAAGGTGCGGACATGATATCCTATTTACAAAAACTATTAGAACAAATCCCTCTATTCATTAAGAGAATGTAACTATATATCTGTCCTAACCATTTTGAATACACAGATACAAAATGGACATTCATTTATATATCCCCTTTTTTGCTTAGGTCCATCATTTGAATATTATAGGTGTGTTAACTCAGCAAAATATATTCCAAAAGAGTCCAGTTGTCCATAATAGTATGGGGTCTTCCGCTTCACTGGCAATGTCAGAAATTGTTGACCTGAGTCCCCTACAGCTCACCATAACAGCATGGCTTTACCTCTTATACTTTGTTTTTATACTTTTCTGCTGGATGGTTAAGACCAAGATAAAGCAGGACCTATGAAACAAGAGAAATATTCCAGTTGGTCTTTTCTTTCTTTCTTTTTTCTTTCTTTTTTTTTTTTTTTTTTTCTTTTGTGGTGCCAGGGATTGAACTCAGGACCCTGCGCTTGCCAGGCAAGTGCTTATTCTACTGAGCTATCTCCCCTGATGAGGGAACATTTTAGATCTAAACCAAAACTCTCAGTTTGAACAGAAACCCGGCTGCCTTCTGTCAGCTGTTCTGAGCTCTGAGAACCAGCAGCTCTTAGCCCTCAGTGTAACCACCTGGAGATTTGGGTGCCAGCACCTCTTAGCTCTTAGTCATTCATTCAGCAGGGCCCACTGCATGTCTCTGTGCTCAGTGCTGTCTCTGCGCCTGGGAATGCAGCAGTGAGCACAGTAGACCACAGTGCTGTTCTGCTGATGCTCCCATTCCCAAGCAGGGAGCGCGAGACAGGACGTAGCCAATATAGACACAGGCACTACCTAGGAGCGAGGGAAGAGTTATGAATGGAAAGCAGGCTTAGAAAGGGCCGGGGATGCTTTTTCAGATAAGGCAGCCAGAGAAGGTCTCCTTGAGGGAGAGCTGCACAGCTCTCTGGGAGGAAAGTCACCAGAATAGCATGTGAAAAAAGGCCCAGGGCCAGAAAATTCCTCACATATTGGAGCAGCCACACCAGACCAGTGTGACTACGCAGCAAGAGCCAGGAGGATCCGACAAGGAGCAGAGGTCAGGAGCTACTGTAAAGGTTTCAAAGTTAACCTCACGTAAGCAGAAGTGCCCTAACTGTGTGGGCAGCAGACCAGCCTCCTCTGAATCCACGCGAGGATGCCGGATGTGTGCCTGCTCAGTCAAAGCTGACCGGAGTTCTGTGTGTAGCTACGCTGGTACAAATAAAGGGAGCTTGAGATGCAAATTTGAGTGGTTACTTAACTTTTGGCTGGATAAAGCATTGGAGTATTGAAACAACACAGCTTTTTCTAAATAACCAAGTGTGTTATACAAGCATGCCCTGTGATTGGCTGAGGGCCTCATCTGTCAGAATCACAGCTGCTGGCTTGTCAGGTAACATCTAGCCTGGTACCACTGGTTGTCTAGAGTCTGGCACTTAGTTAGAGCCTGAGACAACAGGACAAGAGCGCAACGTCAACTTTCTGCTTCTCTCTCGAGATGACAGATGCAAATGGGAGGGAAGGCGTTGCCTCTCCAATGGCATCTCAGCTGACAAATGTAGAGGCCACCATGGAAGCGATTTGCTAAGAGAGTCCTGACTATCAGTAACAGGCTGTATTAGCATAATTTCAACTTCAACTTCCATTCATGGCCAAATGCCAGTTCTCACTGCCATAAAATGTTAGAGCTAGAACAAAACAAAATTTAGAGAACTTCAAGTCCTGTAGATGATCAAACTGCAATGAAGAGCCATAAAATTCCACAGAGGTGATGTGGGGACACTTTGGAGTGGGGATGTGAGAAGAAGCCAGTGGGTGGAGTGGGTCCTGTCCCTCCCAATGCCTCCCCACCACTTCCATCTATGTTAGCTTGGGAATCTATCTAAAATTTGCTTGGAGAATAAGCTTTTACCCAAAAAGGAGTGTGCGTGGTTGGGGTGGGGGTTCAAAGATGAATTTCCATTATTCTGTATAGCCCTTCAAGACATGACCAGTTGTCACTTATTGCTTAGGAGCAATGTCATTTAATAGGCATTTGTTTGTGGCAGGCATGCCTCTCAATTTTCCAATAACCCTATGAAGTAGGCATTGTGATTCTGTTGAGACAAAGCTAATGCTTAGTGAAATTTGGCAATCTTTTCAGGTCTTACTGCAAAGGAGTGGCAAAAGCAAGACTTGAACTCAGACTAACTTTCATCTGACACCTCAATCTCAACTTCTACCCTCTATGCTCTCTGAAAAAAAAAAAGCTAATGGTAAAGATTATTCTCATTACCATTCAAAGACGTTTCTTAAAATGTTTGGGATCACTTGTCTGTTTGGGGTGCTGTAACAAAGTATCACAAACTGGGTGACTTAAATGACAGACACTTACCTTCTCACTTAGTGAATGCCAAGCAGAAATGGGAGCTAGCTCATTGCGCTCCCGGCAAGGCAGCAGCTGGGTCGCAGCAGCCATCTTCCTCCATGCTCACACACCCTTTCCTTGGTTCACATGTGTGGAGAGGAAGTGAGCTTCTCTGTTTTCTTAAGATGTCACCACACTGTTAGATTGTGAACCCACTTTATAGTCACATTTAATTCTTATCGCTTCCATATGGGGTGTTTCTCCAAATTTTGTGAGATTGGGAGTCAGATCTTCAACACATAAATTTTAGAGGGACATAAACATTCAACCCATCACCACCGTAATGGCCAATATAATAACAACATTTATAGAATGTCTAATATGTTATTTAACATTCATTTATGTTGTGCTTACTCTAATCAGAGCACTATTATGTTTTTACAAATCTTAAATCATTAGCCTCAAGTGATATGTACTATCAATATTCTGAATTGTGTATGAATAAAACTGACCAGCAAAAAACTAAGTAATTTGATCCTACTGGCAGATCAGGGGCATGAGCTTATAAAATTCTACTCAGAAAAGAACCCTTCAGGAGATCAGACTCCTTTGTGACATGTGGCTCTGCCTATGCTTCCAGGACAACCATGGAAGGGAAGAAGGTGAGATGGTTTATGGGCATGGCTGGCTTCTTATATTCCATTGGCTAGAACTCAGTCACATGACCACACTGAGCTACAAGGGAGTATGGGAAATGCTATCCAATTGTGTGCCCATGAAGAAGTTAGGTAAGTATTTCCATCCTTTTCTCTACAGAGAAAGACACAGTAAGTCTTCTATAAGAAAGTATACTCTATTTATAGAAAAAGAGTTCAACTTGTCTTTAATCTTTAAGAAAAATTACACATCTAGGAAGTCTAAATGACAGTAAGTAGTGAATTTAGCAAATGAGTTTTCTAGTAGCCAGATATCCAGAGTAGCCACACATCCATTACAGGCTGCTTTTGCCTGTGCCAGGGGGAGGTTATATATGAAACAATTAGCTCTCCCTCCCTTTTCCTTTCTCTCTCCCCACTATGTACATCTTTGCTCCGCACCTCACAACATCACTACCATCTGTCCCAGGCCTTCCACCTTTCCTGTTGTTTTACTCCTTCCTAATTTGTTTTCTGTATGAAACCAAGCAGGCTCACCACAGTCTTAGTCTTGCTAGGCAGTCCTGTCTTGTTGGCAGCCCTTGAGCTATTTCCTGGGGCAGAAAGAAGATTAGGAATGGACCAGAGTATGCGTTATCTCAGCCTTGACACTTGTCATCCTCAGCTGACTAGGGACAGCTTTGCTGCTCAGGGCCTCAGTTTCCCATTGGTTAAGGTCCCAGTTTATCCCTGATGATCTCATTTCATCACAAGAGAGAGGTCCCTGGGTTAGTTGAGGAATCACAGAAGGAAGAATGGGACAATTTCAAAGAGCAGGGGCTGAAACAAAGTCCATCTAGGGATGAGTCCCCTGTACCCCAGAAGCTGGAAGAAGAAAGCAGTAACTGCTGAAGGAGCAAGACCTAGAAAAATGGTATGCTCCTCCCTCCATGTAGACACACAAATCCCAGGGCAGAGCAAAGCACACTCTGGGCTGTGAGGGGAAGCTCCTAGGACAGAGTCACTGTCATTATCTATGGTATTTGAACAAGTGCCTAAATCTACCAGCCTGTGCTGGGGTCTACTGCTTTTAGGAATTTGGGGTCACTGTTAGCAGATGTACTTATTTTTCAAAAGAAATGGAAAATCAAGACTCTTAATCTGCAATACATATATACCTATTTTAAACTTTTTCGAAAAAACCTCTACAAGTCAAACACAGTGTATGTGTGGACCAGAAGGATCTCAGCAGGCAGCGTGGGGTTCAGGATCAGCTCGTGTAAGGATACGGGCATCTCCAGAGCAGTCTCTGCCAAATCAGGAGTGGCAGCACTGTACAGCTGTCCAAACCATCCTGCTTACAGACTTAGATATGTCTCCTTTCCTGCTCCTACTCCTGCCCTCCTCCTCAACTCAGTAATTTCTTCCTTTTGAACAGGTTCATCCCCTTTTCCCACTGTCTATTGTACCCTTCAGATTTTATTTTCTCTTTCAGGTTCTCACACTAAGGAGACAATAAAGATGTTTGCACATTGTGGGTCTGACTTATTTCACTTAAGAGTATGGTCTCTAGTTGCATCCATTTACCAATAAAAGCCTCAAATTTAACCTTTTTATAGCTGAATAATATTCCATTGTACAAAAATGCCATATCATCTTTGTTCATTTCTCAGTTAGTGGGTATTTGGGTTGCTTCCAAGATTTAACTATGACAAATTGTACTGCTATAAACATGGGTGTATATATATCACTATGGTGTGATGTTTTCAGTTCTTCTGGAAAAATACCCAGGAGGTGAATAACTGTTGAATGGTCCCTCTAATCCTAGGTTTTTTAGGAATCTCCACACTGATTTTCATAGAGGCTGTACCAGTTTATAGTCCCACCAACAGTGAAGGGTTCCTTTTTTCCCACAGCCCCTTCAGCGTTTGTTATTGGCTGACTTCTGCTGGTCTACAGAAAAGAGCAGATAATGCTTCATTTGTTTTGTCTCCTTTTCACAATTCTTTGTCCTCTTTTCTGAATTTATGGTATTTTTTTCTTCTTCCAATTTTGCAAGCATATACCTGGTAATATGAACAACTAATTTGTAGATAACAATATGCATTACAACAAATGCTGTGAAATTCAAATTATTTTGTTTAGTGACATAGCATTTGTATTTTTCTGTTTTAATACTATTTTGTACTCTCTTTAAAAGCTAAAAAGAGTGGCAACATCCATATTTTCTCACCCCTATGTAGAGATGCTGGATTTAGGAGGAAGAACACCCCGGAACTCAAGGGTCATTGACCAAAAAAGAAGATGGCAGGGAGATGGCTCACCACTGGGACCGAGGTCCTCATGAGACAAAGAGCCTTTATTCCTTCCTAATACAGGTATAGCTCCAGCAAAGTGGCTGCCTCTTTTCCATAGAAATGAATGCTGCTTTTGTTGCAGGCAGCCGAGTTAGACAGAAATATTATAGGTAGTCAGACAGGGCCAGGCCCTCAAGGAGACAAGATGGAAGACAAGGTGACTTTGCAATTTTTGGAAGAGACAGACACTCCCATATGGGCCACACCAGAAGACCAAGTCAAAAAGAGGAAGCACGGCTACATACTTCCCTAGGGATGGGCATTAGGGATTGATATCCTAAATAGTATCAATCAACTTGAAAGAGCCCAAATGAGTCACTAGCCCAACCCCCAATAGGAAGAGACCCTGTTCCATATTCATGCCCACTTGCTACGTGACTCACTTTCCCATTTGATACTGGATTTAATCAATTTTACCTGAGCAATGGTGCTTGTAATCTCATTGGTTGACCATAGTTTGGTCCCACCTCATGCCCAACTAAACAAGTTCCCATATCTTCTCCACCACCTTAGACCCGCCTCACCACATGGTTTTCCTCTATAAAAGTTCCTGCAAGAGACAACTTCTGGGGGGGGGGACTACCCACTCAGGACCCCCCTTCCTGTCCCTCTCTCAGGACAGGAGCTTTCTTTCTCTCAATAAATATATTCTGCTCATAACCTCCGTTTGTTCCTAAAATTCATTCTTCAGTTTTAGAGAACACGAACTCATGCAGGTCAGGTCCAGAGATCGTTTTTCTCTATGTCATTTGGAGGTTCCCTATATTGTTTGGAGGTCACCCACCCGAGACCAGTTTTTCTTCCCTGTATCACTTTGATTGACCACTGTTCCCTTCACTGTGGCCCCAGGAGCAATACTCCAGAGGCCTCCCTGTATCCTCCAAAGAACATCAGCTCCATCCCGCAGTTGGGCTTTGGCAGCTCAGCAATGGCCGCAGCCCAGACACCCAAGTGATTTTCTTACATTGAATTTATGGCAACTGGTTGGGACTAGAAATACACTTAGCTTGATATTTGTGCGCATGTGGCTGGGACTCCTTTTGTAAGTCAAAGAATCTTTAGGAAAGAATATCACTGGAACCCTTACTTCTTTATACCTTCAAAAATATGTGCACCAAGGTTTCTCATACCTAGTCCCACCTGAACCTCAGAGAGGAACAGCTCCCTCAGGTGACCTGTTTAGTCTTTACCTCAGGAAAGGGAGTTCCTTATCAGGGCTTCCATGACCTTCAGTACACACACACACACACACACACACACACACACAGAGGTTTCGCTTTAAGAATTTATTAAGTTACTTTTATTATAATAAATTAGAATGTACTTAAGTTCGAATTATGTTAAAATATAAATATTACTGCATATCCATTTTATAACTTATGGAAATGCTGCTTAGTTATTTAAAATGATTGACAGAATACAACTTTATAAACATCAAAGACAACAGATTTCTACTACGATCATATAGATCATAGTATGGTGGTCCTCTCTTATCTTTGGTTTCAATTTCCCTGTTACTAGCTCAGACAGAGGAAAGACCATGTTAACACAACTTTGGTGGCAATACGTGGGTTCTACTTTAGTTCTGAGCCTTATTTATAAGTTAAACCTAATTGTATGTGTGTATGAATGTAAACAATGAAAAAAATAGTATACATAGGGTTCAGTATCATCTGCAGTTTGAAGCCTCCAGAGGGGCTTTAGGACAAAACCACCTCAGCTAAGGGGATTTCCATTTAGATGTAGGGGAGAAAGAATTGGAGGTGAAACGGCAAAGACATTGTGGGAGAAAAAGATAAAATGCTGTTGACAGTTGAAGGACTTCACTCTTTCCAGCTGCCCACCCCGAGCAATGTGTCCCTCCCAGCAAGACACTGAGCCTCTCCAAGGCCCGGCTGCCTTGCTCGTACAGAGGAGAATTGTACCACCCACCTTATCCATCTACTTTAGGTACAGTCAAAACTTAATAGGGTCTTTGTGAAAGCATTAGAAACTTATTAAGCACTATACTCCAGCAAGATATTTATAATAATATTACTTTAATAATATAAATTCCAAAAAGTACAGAAGAGGACAAAAGAAGATTGAGAAAGTCCAAGGAAAGGCGTGGGGCGGCTGTCTTGGTGCTGCCTAGTCACAAGGTCAGCAGAGCAATCTCTCCAGAGCATTTTCCCTTTGAAAGCTCAGCTGCTTTGTGATCTTTTGAATGGTCCTAATCACCTTTATTTCCAACTTCAAGGTTTACATTTTGAATAAATTCTTTCTCTGAAGTGGATTACTGAAAGTGGTAAGTGGGTGAAGAAAGTTAGTGACGGATGCACATTGGCATGAACTTTGAATTTCAATAATATTGCAAACCTTAATGCTTAATTTTTCACAAGAGAATAAGTTACTCAGTGTGATTCGATTTGAGATCTGCATTTGTTTAATTATTTCAGGTCACTGGCTTCACAGCTTACTTACACACATGGAGCTTCTAAAGAAGGATAGCATGGCACTAGAGCCAACCCAGGCAACCCTGAAGGTCAGGACAGATGGGGTGTTGTGGGGCCACCCCATTCTGCTGCAGTGACTCTTGTAGGTTTTATCTGGTTGCTTCCTGTGGTTCTCCACAGGAGATTTATGAACTCGAAACTCCATCCTTGGGGCACACTCACCTCCTGCTGACCTTGACCTTGCCCCCGCTTACATTTCTGTCCATTGGTCAGGGTAGCCTAGGCTAACACATGGGGGCACTGGAATGGGCCTAGAGAACCAACAGTCTAGATTGGGTGTGGGTAATAGGTGCCGGGAAGGTGATCTTCAGGGGAAAAGCAGGCAATGAAAAAGAATTAAAAACTGCCATACTATCTTATATGCTTAACTATTCAGAATGGCCCATTGATACTTAAATAGTCTGATAGTAGGAGTGCCTCAATGTATAGAAATCAAAACAAGGATAACCCCCCAGGAAAAGAAAATATTTTGCAAAAAAACAAGGCAATAATGCATAAATTAAGTTTTGCAGTGAATTTTATTTACAAGAATGTACTGATGTGGATACCTTCATTGATTTAGTTAAAAATGAAAGATGGCAACAGGAAACATAGAGGTATTAAATTTTTATCTAGCATAACAGAAAATCAATAGATAACACCTGAGTTAAAAAATGGTTCTATAAGCATACTGAAAATAAATATTATCCCCTTCATTTTACCAATTATAGAGGTCTGTATTTCATGTTCTGAATTATCATCTCAAAAGGTCTTACTCTGCTAGCAGTGGTAGAGCCAACAGGCACAATAGCATTTAGCATAACGGTCATTGTTTCAGAGAACAGGTTTCAATCCCTATGTTCAGTTTACTCTTTTATTTTGTTTTTATTTTAGGAAAGGGTTTACAGGGTGTTTAGGGTCTCACTGCTAGATCAGATTCACAGTGATCTGCCTGTTTACAGACTCCCAAGAGCTGGGATTACAGGTGTGTGCCACCATGCCCAGACTCAATCACCATCTCAGCGTGCACCAGGACAGGGCCAGCAAGGCAAGCCTGGGGATGGAACTCCTGGTCCCTGTGCCTGCTTACAGGCGCTTTAATCCGCTGAGCTATTTGGCCGGCCCTTTTAGTTTATTCTTGACAATTTTTTTTCCAGTTTGCGTAAGCTATAGCTTGGTGATCATTATTTTTAACCTTTATTATTCTAGGGTCAACACATCACTGTAGGACCACCCTGCCATGGATTGCTTACCCGTGGGCCTTGCATTGTCAGCAGTCACATCTAATTTGCCAGAATCGTTTGAGTGAAATCCAGTAAAAGAGTCTTGGAAACATTTTCACAGTAACATAGAACAGCAAAACCTTGGAAAGTCTCCCAAGAATACATGAATGAGGGGAATTTTCAACACTCACAGCCACCACTATGTTGTAGAACCTTTTCTTCAATCATATGAGGCTGTAGACCTAATCTAGTGATGGTGTCAGTGACAACCCATATATAAAATGGGCAATGATTTATTTATTTACTTAATTAATTCCGATATTAGACATTAAATCCAGGACCTTCACACCGAGCTGTAAAGCCAGCCCCTTCTGTCTCTCTGTTGACACAGGGACTCACCAAATTGCCCAGATTAGGCTCAAACCTATGATCCTTTGGCCTCAGCCTTCAGAGGATCTAGGCTCACAGGTAGGTACCACCATGCCCAGTAAATAATTTATTTTTAATGTAAAGGCTAACTATAGAAGCTTTAGTGTTTCCACGCTTCTCTCTAGTGACTTGTCCTCCAGCCCCACTCAGGGCAGCCGTGAGCCCGTGAGTTGCCCTCCAAGCAGCCTTTCCTGAGGTACTGGATTCTCTAAAACAGTGGTCTCTAACTCTTGCGGCATTAGGGGCCAGTTTTGTAGAAGTCCGATTTTCCATCGGTCGGGGTGACAAGATTCGCAGAGCGGCAGCCTACACCCTCGCGCGAGCAGTTCACGGCCGGGTACCTACGAGGCGACTCAGCGCCCACCCGCAGCTGTGCAGCACCGCGTGGCCTGCAGCCTGGGGCTGGGGACCTCTGTTCTAAAAAGAGGAAGAGCACTGGCCAGGGAAGAACCAGCTTGATGGCTCTTTGGGGGTTATTATTGTTCCACCTTAAAATTTTATGTGATTTTATCTTCCATTTACGGGCATTACACCTATGCATGTTTTAATTAAGCAAGCTTAATTCAAACTCTGCTAAATATGATAAAAAATGATAGCGCAAGGTGGAGGCCAGCTTAGAGGAAGTCAGCTTCGAAGCACATCAAGAAGATAAAGGGATAATCTTGGCCTGGATTTCTCATTAAAGAGAGCCCTCTGCTGACCAAAGTGTTCATTTGCTCGCTCCTGGGAGCCTCCGGCTTCCTAGCAATTTTAACAAGACCTTCGAGCAATCACTTCTAAACCACAATCTTAAAACTGCACAATAACCATGGGCTGCTTTTTAATACGGACTGCGTATACTCAGTGATGGAAAAAAATCCTTAAAAAATAACAGCCACCTGGGGCAAAGGGACCAGCAGTCCCAGTCTTAGCCTGTGGGGGGCAGCAAAGACACCACGCAGAGCTTTGTTCCTTTCCGTTTTGTACGGATTTCGTTTATCTTGTGCTGGAAAACCTTCGTTTAGAAACACGTTAAGTAGGACAAGCGCGCCAATAGGATTCAGATTTTGTAGCCAAGACACGGATACATATAACAAGGCGGAAGTTTAAAATTTAACGCATGAAGTGCAACAAGAGTTGAGTAGAAAAAGAAATATTTTTCCTAAATTGGAGAGAGCCGCGGGAGCGGAGAGCAGGTGCTAAAATCTGAAGGAAAGAAGCTTTCAGGCGATTCCGGGAGGGGCGTGAAATATGGAGAAGCCAGGAAGGAAAGACACTGCAGCTCGGGGCGGAAGCCGCGACTTCGGAGAGCGTGCATTTGGGCCACGGTGGCAGCTCATTCTCTAAACGTATTTGCAGCCATAAATATTGTAGTAATTTAGACCTAGAAATTCAGAAACGCGAGTTGCTAGTTCGTAGGCATTCTATTTTATGCATATTGCTTGAGTTAGTCTTGTATATGGCAGCGAAAAATTAAACCATTAAATGGTTTAGAAGAAAAACCGCTTGTCCCCCCACCTCACCCCTGCTCCGCCGCACCCCGGGGCGCTCAGAGGCGCCCACTCTCAATTCTTTCATGGATTCGCTGGATATTTATTTCTGGATTTCTAACGAGTGCACTTAAATGAATTTTTCATGTAAAACTGGGGTATTACCTATTGATTTTCTGTTATTCTAAATGAAGGCCTCGTTTTCCTCTGTTCTCTGCCCAGTTTTTCTCTTGCCCTTGTGGCTGAATCAGGGAAGCTCTCCATGTTACCAGGTCCATAGAAACAGTATTGACGGCAAATCCTAAGTATTTTCTTGCAAAATGTTTTGTTTTCCTGGAATAATAATCACCTTACTTTTCTTTTTTATTTTAAAGAGAAAAAACCCCACAAAATTTCAAAACAAGACAATAAGAGGGTAACAATGGCCAATGCACTGTGTATCCTTACCTTGAGATACTCAGAGTACAGGATATCGGTGTCTAATTGTCCAGCCACTACTAGCACCAAGCTTGCTTGCTTGCTTTATTTTGGCGGAACTGGGGATTGAGCTCAGGCCCTTGAGCTTGCCACTGAGCCATCTCCCCGGCCCCCTCTTAACTTTTATTTTATTTTTTTTCATAATTTTATTGATAAACAAATAGCAATGAGACTGTTTCAAATCAAATTGGTAGGACAGTTTCAATAATTCACACATTGCATACGTTCCTCCCAGAGGTTGATTGCTGTACAAAATGCGGACATGATATTCTATCTACAAACACCATTAGAACAAATCGCTCTATTCATTAAGAGAATGTAACTATATATCTATCCTAACCACTTTGAATGCACAGATACAAAATGGACATTCATCTGTATACTTTTTTTTTGTTAAGTTTCGTTATTTGAATATTATAGGTGTGTGAACTCAGCAAAATATTCTAAAAGAGTCCAGTAGTCCATAATAGTATTGGGTTTTCCGCTTCACTGGCAGTGTCAGAAATTGTTGACCTGAGTCCCCTACAGCTCAACATAACAGCATGGCTTTACTTCTTATATTTCGTTTTTATACTTTTCTGCTGGGTGGTTAAGACCAAGGTAAAGCAGGACCTATGCAACAAGAGTTGTAGCTTTTGGGTCTGATAAGGTCAGTGAAATCTGTTCAGGATTTATCCTGAGGTCCTGTACCTCAGATTGTTTGTCAGTGTCAGCCATGTGGATGAATCACGGCTATTGCTTGGCCAATGTGCTCTCTGTGAAAGCCTGAGAGAATATTTTCTCTCCATGTGACTCTCCTTAGGCACACTCTACATCATCGATCACTTTCCTCTTTGGTCCCATAATCTCCTTGATCAGAAAATTTGGGACAATACTGAGTTACATGTTGTTACAGTACAAGTTCTCATATGTCCTGAGTCTTAATTGACCTTGGAAGGCTAGGGCCAAAATGTTGGCTTTCCTTGTAGCCCTCCTTTTTCTCTAATTTTGGTCTGCAAACTTAGGTTGTTAACCATCCAGAAGACAAGCTTATTTTTTTTTAAATAGTACTACTCATTTTATTATTTTTTTAAATTTATGTGTGTGTGTGTGTGTGTGTGTGTGTGTGTGTGTGTGTGTGGCCAGCTCAGCCCACCAGGGGGCGGGGTGGGCTGGCATGTGGTGCTGCGGGATTGAACCGCGGTCCCTGTGCTTTGCTAAGCTTGTTCTAAGTAGGTGCTTTAGACCACTGAGCCATCTCACCAGCCCCAGAAGACAAGCTTATTGTTATTACCATACAACTTAGGCTGTTAAGCTTAGCCTTACTATCTGTCTGCATATCAAACATCTTAGGCATAATATGGAACAGGTTCAACTATCTTCTATATATTTTTTTCTTTTCACTTTTTCCCTTCTTTTCTCCATTCCCCCATCCCAGTTTCTCTTTCCTTTTGAAGTTTCTTTCCATTTTACAATATATACTGTATATTCTGGATCTTATTTACTCTTTCAGCTTCTCACACTAGGGAAATATATGACATTTATGCACAGGTCAGTCTGATTTATCTCATATATCAGTATGTTCTCTAGTTGCATCCACTTACCCATAAAAGTCTCCAGTTTATCCTTTTATGGCTGAGTAGTACTCCATTGTACTACTGAAACAGATGATGTCTTTTTTATCTATTCCTCTGTTGATGGGCATTTGGTTGTTTCCAAGATCTAGTTATTACAAATTGTTCTGCTATAAACACGGGTATACATATATTGCTATGGTATGATTTTTTTCTCTTTATGGTTTTTATAAAACAATATCTTTATTTTGTCTGTGTATCATATTGCTTATACATCAGTACATTTAAAGCATGAAGGTATTATATGTTTTGTTATTTTTCCTGGAAATCTTAATCCAAGTAGTCTCTGCCCTTCTTACACAGTCTGAATCGATGCTTTTTAAGCCTGCTACAAATGTGCGTCTTGCAACTTATTTAGCCGAGTTGGACTGCCAGTTTCTCAATCCTTCTATTTTCACTTCATGCAGTGTAGGCTCCCATTTTCCTGCTGTTTTCTTCAGGGCATTCCAGTGGTTGTTTTCTGAAGTCCTTGCCAAGGTACAGTCCCCACCAGGGCCAGGCTGACCCAGGTGCCAGACTGAATAGAGTGGGAAGGACAGGGTGCGACATCTGGGGCCAGGCTTCCCACGGCGAGCCACGGCCCCGCCTCGCTGTCTCCCATCACTGATTTCCTGTGTTGCAGTCAGCTGCTGTGTTGAGCAGAGTACCAGGCCATCACTGGTGAAGGAGGCGCAAAGGCTCCGGTCTCCCCAGCTGCCAGTCACAGGAAACAGCAAAGACATCCACCCGAGAATTTCTCCATTTCAAGTTTGTACTGAGTTACTGAGTCAATATCCTTACATTTGCAGACCATTGAACATATGAGTGCCTCCTGCTTTTATATGCATTTATTCATTTCTGAGCGAGTGTGGGAAGATAAGACATGATTATACCATCCTGCACAGCCCCGGGTATGCTACGCAGTTAGCATAATGTAGTAAACTCAGGCGGTGATCCACTCCTGCCATTTGCATCTTTGTAAGGGAGCTACTTCAGCTGCTAGCGCCATTAAAGCCAGGCATATAAATCAGCCCCCAAATCACCTCTTCTGGGGTGGGCTGGCTAACACAGCCAGTGGTAACATCTTTCTTTTTTTAAAAAAATATATATATTTAGTACAGGGTCTCACTATGTAGATCAGACTTGTAGTGATCCTCCTGTTTTCAGCCTCCCAAGCACTGGGATTATAGGTGTATGCCACCATGCCCAGTCTCAATTGCCGTCTTGTTGTGCCCCAGGGACAGGGCTGGCACGGCACACCTAAGCAGACACTTTAGTTTCGCTGAGCTATCTGGCTGGCCCTGGTAACATCTCTCTTGATGAGTCCCCTCAGCCAGAAAGTAGCTACCTTAGTCTGAGAATGAAGTGGGCAGTGTTCATACCAGAACCATGAACATTCCTCTCAGTAGCTGGGTGTGGTGGCGCATGCCTGTGGTCCAGCACTAGGGAGGCTGAGGCAGGAAGATCATGGCAAGTTTGAGGCCAGCTTGGGCTCTGTAGTGAGTTCAAGGTTCAAGGCCAGCCTGAACTACATGTCTCAAAAGGGAAAA